TATCATTTTAGTTTTCTCTCTTGATATATGTGCATATATATATGTGTGTGTGTGTATATATATATTCTACACACATAATAAATATAGGGACATGTATTATACATGTGTATTTTTTTTTTTTCCTGAGCCATATATACACTCTGGCCCTTTGCTTCTAAATACCTCAGTATATATCTTCTAAGAAGAGAGACATAACTGCAGTAATTACCAATTTCAGTGACTTTAGCATTGATGCAATAYTTTAATCCATCTGCCACTAGTTTTCCTATTAACCCAATAATGTCCTTAATAACATTTTTTCCTCCTCAAGGAAAAGATCCAGTCTAGTATCTCATTTTACATTAAGTCATCATGACTCTTCAGCTGGAATATTTTTTATAGCCTTTGTGTTTTATGACATTTTTATCTTTGAAGAATACAGTCCCCTTTTAAATAAAACAAAATGAAATATTTCTCATTTGGATTGATCCAATATTTCCTCTTCACAGTCTTCATTTCCTCGTTTAGATGCTATCTTAGGGAGTCACATCTGGAGGTAAATACTGTCAATCTGTCCCTCATTTGTGATGTTGACTTTGATTACCATGTCAGGGTTTTGTCAAATTCTCCAATGTATAATTAATCTTTCCTTGCAACTAATAAGAAATCTGTAAGAAAACCCTCTAAAATCATATAAATATCTTGTTCCTCATCTAAATTTATTCCTACATTTTGATCCAACCATGGGTCCTGCCTTACCTACTCTCTGCCATTATGGTTGCAAAATGATGATTCTTCCAACTCCAGTAGTTTCTCAACATCCTACCACAGCAAGAATATTTCCTTTTTCTCCATTTATCTGTTTCATTATTGATACTAACTAAAACTTTCTTTTTAAAAACATTTGACCTATTTTTATATGTAGGCTATATTAAAAACTGTGATAAAGATTATTAACCAAAATTCTTTCCCTCTGTTAAGAATGAAAAGTCTGATGCCTGTAATCCCAGCAACTCAGGAGGCTGAGGCAGGAGGATCAAAATTTTATGGCAGCTTCAGCAACTTAGTGAGATCCTGTCTCAAAAGAAAAAGGACTGGGATGTAGCTCAATTGTAAAGGATCCCTGGGTTCAATCCCCAGCACACCCCCCCCAAAAAAAAAAAGAAAAGAAAGAAAAAAGAAAGAAAAATAATTGCCTATAATTTTTATGAATTAATTCACTTATTTGGAAAAAAAGTCTGGTAAATGCAATTATCCCAATTTAGAGAAAAACATGAAAGTAGGYGAAGTCTTTATATTAAGTATAAATGCCTCCCAAATATTGGTGTTATTTTAGCATTTCTTTCTTTTGTTTGTATTTAAAATATTATTTGGATTTCTACACTTTTCTACACGAGACAACTCAAGGGTGCAAGTGTGTATGAATGTGTGTATAGASGGCAGTCCTGTAGCAGGAACAAGAAGGAAGAGCAGAAAGATTAGTTGTGAGCCCCAGATTGATGAGACTCAAGGGACTGCAGGAACGCACAGGGCTAGGACTACTTACTGAACAGTGATGAGTACTAAGTACTCTTAAATCCTGGAGGACATCATTCTGTCAATTTCAATTTTTTTTTTCAAGATACCTCTGGGTTATGAGGAATAGGTTCAGTTATATTGTTTTAGTAGTTTAAGAAAAGTTGGTGAGATGTTGGTGGGAAAAAATCAATAAAAGTAGTTTAAACATTTTCTAGTGCTTCAAGATGAAAACCTGATTTATCTAAATATTTAATCATATTCAACCTCCAACAGCCCCTTTTCTAATCCTGTAAGATAAGGCATTGCTGAAATGGTTTTTTTTTTATTTTTCATTTTAATTTTTTGCAATATGGGGTTAGAACCCAGAGAGGCTCTATCAATAAGAGATATCCCCAACTCTTTTTATTTTGAGACAGGATCTCACTAAGTTGACCAGACTGGCTTTGAACTTGCAATCCTCCTGCCTCAGCCTCCCAAGTAGCTTAGATACAGGTGTGTGCCACCACAACCGGCTCTAAAACTGTCTTTAAAGTTAATATTGAAAAGAATGAGTCTGTGCAAACATTTATTTATACACTAACTGGCTTCCTCACCAGTTGTTYCAGGGAAACATTAATCACCATTAAGTAAATAATTCCCTGCTGATCCACACCCTGCATAGAGTTGCCCCTGTGAGAAGCAGCTTTATTGTAAACCCAAGTGTAAATTGTAAAATTAAAACGGTGCTCATATTTGAATGGACTGTTGATCATCTTTGTGTTTGGTGTCTTAATACCTGTGGCAGTCTCTCTTAATTGGGAATCATGGCAGACTCCTCTTGTTTGTCAGTTCCTATGCATCCTTTTTTTTTTTTCCTACGCATCCTTTAAAAGTAAGTAAATTTGGGGTGTGCTGCTTTGCCTTAAATGAGAACATTTAAAACACAACCAACAAATGTCTTCAAACTGTCTAGCTACCATACATATATATATATATATATGAAAAAAGATTGAAGGTTAGAGAAATAACCTTACTGAAATTGTTTGTTGTAATATAATTCAGTCTTATGGAAATAATCTTTCTTACAATGCCAGTTTGACAGCTACAATGAGTTGTTTGTTGATTTCTTTTTTTGCAGTGGTGGTCTCTTGTCTTTGAACTGCTTGTTCTGTATCTACATTAGTTCCTTGGCTTACACCTGGGAAATAATTTTGATGGACAGTAATAAAACGTTACATAATGGTGATTCCTCTGAAATGACTTTTAAGCATATTGAATTCTTATTGATTTCGATTTTATATAATGGCATTTCTATTTTATACATTAGCACTTTTTGTTCTACTAAGACTTTGCGTATTTCTTGTCTTTTGGTAAAAGCAAATGGAATCCATAAAGCAGCTTTAGTACTCTGATACATAAAGTTTGGTGCTGGTGTAAAAAGTCATTGCTTCATTTACATATCAAAGAATGGGAAGGGTCACTGACTTTGTAAAATGATTTCCAAACCATAACAAAAATATCCAAAACCAAACAATAACATTGAAAATGAACTTTTATGTATTTTTATATACAAATACTTAAGACAACTCAAACTTAATAAATTAAGTATGATTTTATAGGTTATCAACATAAGAAACAGATTTTGAGGTTCTTATTGTGAATTCAGAAATTTCGTAGACATGAGAATTTAGTGTATCCAAGGCCTACCTCATGAGTCAGATGGCTTTTTCTCATCAAAGTCMGAATGAAAAATTCACTGGTTTTACAGTAAACTATGAAAATTATTGGCAGATGTAGGACACAGGCTCATTTGTTTTTATGAGGCTCTAATTCAAGTTTAAAGTAATTGCAAGACAGTTGCACAAAATAGAATCCCCTGTTCCTCAGTTTTCTTATTTCTTGAGAGCAGTTAATTATTTGTGATAATGGCATATATATATATATAATTGTTGTATTATTGTTGGCACACAGCCAACCACCTTTTCCTTAATCTCTTACTAACTGAAAAAAGACTAAACATTTACCCAGCTCTATTACAGCTGGAAGGGACTTTTCCTCCAAGTGCTAATTCAGTTTGGCTGTTGTTTCTTTGGGACTTGAAGCAATTAGCATGTATGGGAAAGCTTCCTGTATTCATAAAGCATTTCCACCCTTTTTAATCAATAGTTTTTCCTTCCTCTGGAATGTTTTGGGACCATTTGTTTTCTCTACTTCTCTCAGTGATTTTTTTTAAAATCATGATTCAAGACTTTCTTTGAAAGCAAAATGGAATAAATATGAAACACTATGAACTTTGTTTCTTGTTTTGTTTTTGTTCTAATGTACCTTTAGGTGGCGGCCCTTTAAAGTAGTAACCCTATTTGAGAGAACGTAGTTCAAGGGTATTCTAGAAGGTAGTCCAAGGAGAAATTAGTTAGCATTCTCCAACGCACAACAGTCATCAGATCTGTTTAGTGGTTATCAAAGAAACCAAGCAGGAACAATTCTGGTTCTTTTTATACTCTGTGCTGCTACACAGTATTCCTTCCACATTCTACTGCACGTTGCCTACAAGAAAGGGCCGCAGAACATCAAATAATCATTGCTTTGCACAAGCCCTAAGGACAGCATATGCAGGGGTGGCTCACTGACAACCTTCCACTAAAAGTCACACTGCCTCAAATGGTGCTAATTGTAASTAGGCCACCCATACGAAAGTGCACCCTCTGAAACACCACCCTTCCACCGTTTATAAGGAATCACTCCTTTTCTTCATTCACGGGAAATAGTTAACATTTTAGAATCMTGTGCGTGAGAACACGGTTCGCCTGGGATCCATCAATCTGAGCCCGGGGCGGCGGGGTGTGCCCAATCTGACACTGGTCCTTAAGCGAGGAGGAATACCCTGCACCACACCTGCAGAGGCCCACTCCGAGCCTTCCCGAAGGCCAACGCGTCGGAGTACCCACACCCTAATTCACGGCCCCACAGTAGTGGGGCGACTCTTCCCTCAGGAGCCCCCTTCTTGTCCGCCGCCACTTCTAAAGGCACCGCGGGCGTGTGCTGGAGCTTTGATCTGGGCCGAGCGTTGGCCTCAAGACTTTGTTCTCGGGTCTTGCAGGAGAGGTGCCGGCGCCCAGGCCCAGCTCCAGCGCCGACTCCGCCGAGGGCCGCGCGGGCGGGTGCGGGCGCGGTGGCGGGGCCCACCTGTGCGTCCTCTCAGCCCTGAGCTGCCGCGTTCGCCGAGGCGAGCCCCTCCCCGCACAGGCGCGCKGCGGGGGTGCTGCGGAGGGTGGCGCGCGCCGTGGACACCGGTGCCCTGCGGCAGTTGGGTTCCGCCGGGCCCAAGAGCCGCGGGCGGGCGGCGCGCGAAGACCCCGCCGGTGGTGGCGCTCCGGGCCCGCGCGAGCGCGCTCGTTTGGTGCGCGCGCGCCCGTGTCTCCGCCCCGCCCGCCCAGCGCGCGCCTCCGCCAGGGCCGCTCTCCTCCCCCTCCCCGGCGCGAACGGGGTGGATCCCGCGCACTCCCCTCCCCCGAGCASCAGCGGCGGGCGCTGAATGAGAGACGCCGACCGCCGAGGTCGGCTGGCGCTCTCCTCGGCGGCTGCGGCAGTGGCGAGGCGTGACGCCGGAGTCGCCTCTCCATCCTCCGAGGCGACGGCCGCGGCTGCACAGGTCGGCGCTGCGGCCCGCGGTGGTGCGGAGGACGGAAGGTGGGTGCACTGCGCCCCCCGAGCGGCGCGGGGAATGGCGGCGGCTCCGGCGCTGCGGCGTGCGGCTCGTCCCCGGCGCGGGAGGCGGCTGCGGAGTCGGCCGCAGGAGGAGGACTCCGGGCGCGCCTCCCGCGGCCGCTCGGGCTGGCGGAGGCGGCGTGGGGCGCTGGCGCGGGGACCCCCGGAGCCCGCCGTGCTCTCCGCCAGGCGGCGGAGGCCCGGGCCGCCAACGCGCCGTGCCGGCGGCGCCTCAGCTGCCCTCAGGTGAGCTCGGACGGCCCGCGGGGCCCGCCGCCCGGCCACACCCCCTCCCCTGCCTCGGCACTGCACCCTGCGCCTGGCCGCCGAGCGGCCGCTCGCGAGCCCGCGGCCGGGTGACCTGTTGCGGGGCGGCCCGGGCCGACCAGGCTCCGCGTAGTGCGGGCGGCGGGTGCAGCCCCGGGTCGGCTGGCGGCGCGGCGGGGGCCGGGTGCGGGGAGAAGGAGGGAGATTCCGGACGTGTCTGATCAAACACTTGCAAAGCCGCGATATCTTTCTGCAAATATCCGGAATGCCACGCCGTGTCGGATTAGGGAGCTCATAAACACCGTGCTCGGGAGGGGAGCGGGGGAAACCCGAGCCGCCCGCCCGCCCGCCCGCGAGGAGCTRATATCTGGAACCCGGCGGCGACCTGTGCGAGCGGGGCCCCGCCCGCCCCCTCGAAGCCCCTTCCCTGTGGCGCCGGGTCGTGTGGACGCAGCCAGTTTCAGTGTCCGTGGGCGTGTTTGGGAGGGAGCTGCGAGCTGATAGGAGGTACCTGGGTGCAAATGTTAATTTGTTTGAGCTGGGAGGGGTGAGGGAGGAGGAGGAAAGGGCGCTGCTGTTAGCTGTGGAGGAGGGGCGATCGAAACACCCAATTTCTGTTCAGGAAGCGCTCCGCAGGGTGTTTGCGCCCAGTGTTTACGGCCTAAAGTGGAAACACGCAGGCAGCGATTCATGGAGCTTTATCTTCTGAGTCCTGGGTCGGCCCCCGCCCCAACGCTGTAGTTGCTATAGAGAGCTTTGTTTTCGTGCCAGTGTTTATTAGTTGACTTTGGTGCTTTGTTAATATTTACCATCAGATCGACTCGTGGTCCAGTCTCTTTGAAGATGACCCTGAGGATTTTGGGAAACTTTTCAATCGGTGCTTGCAGGGTATTGCAGCGTGACACTGAACATATCCTCAAGCCATAATCGTGTTCCACCCAGATAATATGCTTATACCAGCGGTAGAATCAAATATAATAAGTGTATTAGTATTACTGCTGAATATCTTAGTCATGAGAATTATGAAGGAACTTATATTCAAACTATTATTTTAATAAAAATAACCTCTAAGCTTTGTAGACGTGAAGTTGATCGTGTGGCGTCCCATATTTGGAAAATGCCCTAGCCAGATCTATAGATCAGATGTAAGGTCTTTCCTTCGATGCCATTTTGAATAAATAACTTAAATGTAATTCTTTTAAGTTTAATTCAAAATGGTAAGATCTGTCTTTTTCCCATTATATTCCACCTTTCATTGAATTAAGGAATATGACTTCACATTCTCTGGGTGGAACTCTGGAAATATTACTAACTTTGCCTAATTATTCCAGATTACAACAGAAATTTAAAGGTAATGCTTATATATCTAGATTGTCTCATGCCTTTCTGACATTTATTTGTAATATAAAGAATATTCAAAAATTCTCTGAGACAGAATATGAAAAAACTGGGTTTGTAAATTAGATGCACTTATGAGTAATATTTGTGTGTATTTAAATACCTAGTACATCTTTTTCAGTTTTTTATGTCATTACAGTTGAGACCATAGGGTGTAGTGAATGATATGTAGATGAAATTAATTGTTGCAATTTGAAACACTTAGTTTTGGCCTCTAGGGGTCTAGCTCATGTGGTACCTACTTGGTCCCAGTTATTCCTCCAGATGTTGGGGATACATCAGGGTAAAAGACAGGTCTGTGCCCTGAAGAAGCCTAAATGGTAAGTGGGCAAATCTGTTAGGTTAAAAGCTTCAGAAGTAAAAACTACCTGAATATTGTTCATGTTTTTCTTCTTAGAGGGAGTTATTACTTTGTGAACAAAAGCATTAATACAACTGTTTTAAAAACTGCTTATGTTTATACACATTAGGTGTATAAATATATCAAGGATAAACATTCTACCTCAAGTCAGATGCATGGTTTATGTGTGGCTAAACAATCCTATTCTTTTGGTTTATATAGTTAAATGTTTGTTGAAAATACTCTTGGCATTTACTGGTCTACAAGGGTGTCTAATTTTTTTTCACAGTGTGTTTTTAAAAAAAAATCACCTTTTGTTTTTAGTGAACCAGTGCCCTGTTCTTCCACAGAATCACATAACCCTCACTGGCAAAATGAAGAAAATTTTTACTTGGAGTGTTTGGTTTTCATCGTGGTGAAAATATGACAGATATTGGTATAGTTCTTTACAACTTTGAAAACTCTTTTCATATATTATTTATAMCTAAATATTTTATTACTCCTTATTTGCAGTGTTAACATTGATACTTGGTAGGTATTATTATCTTGTTAATTTAGGTMAGGACACTAAAGTTTGGAGATGTAAGCAAACCACCAGCAAGCAAGCAGTGAACCCAAACTGGAATTATAGCTTCTACTAGAATGTAATAGTCCCCCTCAGGAGTGTGTAGAGTTTGATGGGGAGAACATGAACACCTGATGCTACAACTCAGCATCTACTACGCTATTGGTTTGCATTTCCAGAAATTTCTAACATACTTTTAAACCTTAAATCCAACTGCTAATTAGAATTTAATAAGCTTATTTTCTTTTGTAGGTTTAATTTAAACCTGTTTATTTTAACTGGGCATAGTGGCACTTATCTGTAATCCCAGTGACTCAGGAGGCTGAGGCAGGAAGATCACAAGTGTGAGGTCAGCCTGGGCAACTTAGTGAGACCCTGTCTCAAAAATTAAAAGAACTGGGGTTGTAGCTCAGTGATACAGCACCCCTGGGTTCAGTCACAGTGTTGGAAAAACAACAATAACAACAAGAAGCATGTTTTCTATCAAAGAGATATAAAATGAAGACAGGTTGTTTGGGTTTATCTTTAATAGTACAAGTTTTTGAGAATAAGATGCATTAGAATGAACCTGATTTTTTTGAATATGAGGTTTTTGTGTATTTGAAGTAAAGTGGTTACTTCTTTAAAGTTATTTGGTTTTCCATGAGAGTATAATTAGATGGCTTGAATGAAGTCTTTGGAAAGAAAAACTGATGTATTGCATTACCCTATAAATGATTTCTCTAATGTGCTTTGCATTCCCATTGGTTTCTCAAGGGAGTGAATGAAGACTGGCTCTGATAAATTTTAGTGTCTTGGAATTAGTCTTTCCCCTTTTTAAATGCTTTATAATGGAATACCCCACCACCACCACCACCACCACCATACTGGGAATTTGAACCCAGGGGAGTTTTACTGCCCTTTTTTGAGACAGGGTCTCCCTCAGTTGCTGAGATTGGCTTAGTACTCTAGAACCTCCTACTTCCACCTTCTGTGTGGCTGGGAATGCAGGAGTGCACTAAATTTATAATGAAATATTTCTTGGTTAATGCCTTCAGCTTTTGATTTAGGAAAACTTATATAATAGGGATATAACACTGGTATCTAAAATGTATGGCTAATTAGATTTATCAGAAGAATATGGACTGATAAATAGATAGATATACATGTCTGTATTTTGTAATACAGCAGTGTTCTTACGAGTGAGTTTGAGGAAATTTGACAACTTACATATGCCACTGCAGAAAACTTCTGGTACTGACTATTGAGTGACACGTTGCTTTGAACTGAGAGAGGCTTGAAATGAAGCCTTTAACTTGAATTTAGTAGATACCTTTTGTTTCTCAGAACAGATTTTTCTTCTCTGTTTCATAGTTTGCTCTCCTTTTGTTCTTGAAAGACCCTTCCTGAACACCTTACTAAATGGCATCCACATCACACTGTGCCCATACCTTGCTTTTTGTTCCTCTATGGTATTGGTTTGTCTGATGTACTGTTATTTGCCCTCCCTGTCTGAATGTAAGCTTTCTGAAGATGAGGACTTAGTTTTGTTCACTGCTGTTTTCCCAGCACCTACAAAAGTACCTGCCTGACACACTTAGCTAGTGCTCAGATACTTGGGGAATGACCGAATTTATTGGTTATAAGCGATAGGAAAACTTTTTTTTTAAATTAATACTTTAAGTAATAAATACAGCTGTATAGTTACAAAGAAAGTCTTACTTACAAGACATATTGAAAACCCTGGTCCTCTGCTTCACTTCTAGCTTTTCCTCCCAGGTCCTGCTCTCAGAGCAAACATGTTCAATACATTTAGCTGTTTCTTCTGATATTTATTTTCTTTTCTTAGATTTTTTTGGTTTATTTTCAATCTTGAATACATGGTTCTACTGTTTTGTTTTTTAATTTTTTGTGTTCTCTATTGGATTCATACTGTGGAAGATGAATCTGTGCTTTAGGATTCTTATGCCATATTGAACTTCTTTCCCTTTATGTTCCTAATAATGCTTTTGGTTAAATGAAAGTTCATTGTTTATATTATTAAGACTTTGTAATTACATTTACAGTTCAACTTTGCAGTGTACAGTGATTGTATTTCTTGGTGTTAAAATTCCTTTTTTCCTCTTAGTTTCCTGTTTGTCTCTAATGTTATACCATTATACACTCTCCCAAGTATCTTCAAACACATTAGATAATTGATCATTCTTTTTTTTTTTTTAAATTGGGAAAATACTTCTTGAGCTCTATATTCTTGCTCTGATCTCTCTTGGGCTCAATGTAGGCTGTATAATTTAGCTTGTGACTTCATCATGTTTCTGAGAATTCTTTTTTGACTTTTTCTTTTGTTGGAACCCAGGCTTTCTGTATCCGTGTTGTCCTCTTTTTTAGTTTACTT